AAAAATTAATTTTTGCTATATTTTAAGATATCTTTAAATTCATTATAAAAGAAAGAAAAAAAAAACCACAATGAAAAAAGCAAGTCAGCTATATATCGATTTGTTGTACTCCTCAAATCACATTCACAATTTGGCTACAAGGAAAGGAAACTCATTGATTAAAATATTATTTTGTCAGTAGTCTTAATGTACAAGAGACTTTAAGACTACACTTGAATATTATAAGACTTTTATTGAACATTGTACAACTTTCTTGCGTATTATACACTTTTATTGAATATTGCATCTTATAATATAATATTTTCCAAATAAATATATCTCGTGCTTTGCACGGGTACTATATATATCCCGTACATTTTTCTTTATTCTATAAGCCTGGATAAATAACTTTAAAATTGCGCACCCCATGCATCGCACGGGCTCTGTACTAGTTNAACATGTGGTATTTAGTATAATTTTGTCATAAACTCCAACATACGTATGCTATTATTTGTGTGGTTTAGATTTAGATCAATTTCTCTATGGTTTAGATTGAAATCAATTACTCTATTTCCATGTATAATTCAAATCGCTAATCGTAAGTCACGCGCATTGATAGTCACATGAAATGTATGCATTGATATTGTAATCATTGAAAACATAGATAAACTTGTCTAGAAATATAGCCATTTGTCACATGGATGTATAAATACATTGATGTTATAATAATTGAAAACATAGATAAACTTGTCCAGAGATATACCCATTTGTATAGGAATAATGTAATACAAGAAGGCAACAATGCATTCTGTGCCTTGTAACTTGTTGCGTGTGGCAAAAAGAAGAGTTTTTTTTGCAAATTTTTTATTATTTGTTTATTTATTTATTCTAATATCCGAGTTCAGTTGATATGAAACGTTTTGGTGACACACGGACATCCACGTTGGATAAAATGGGGTGAGTCTGCAATTCTGATGAATTTCGATAACTTGCAAGTAAATTAGGCATGATTTCCGATTTTTAACAAGTTATTATCCTGTTTTGTCAAACAAAAAAAAGTTGTCCGTATTTGTCACACTCTACAAGTGAAAGATTATATATTATTTGTTTATTGACGTCAATAACAAAAATGGAATACAACATACATTATGAGCGTGCTTGTTTACAAATTAATATGCTCAAAATGAGTGGTTTTAGCTAACCAGTATTGATTTCGAAAAAAATTCGTGTGTTTAATTATTAGTGGGATTTTGAATTTATATAAAAATAATATTTAAAATAAAAACATTACAATAAAAGCAAGAAAGCTGATGTGAAGTGATAGTTAAAATTATGTGATTAGGTGAATAGTGAACTAAAGTTGATGCGATGTGTAATAATGATTGATTTGTATTATTTAATTATATGAATAATATTAAGGATAGTGGAGTTGAGTTAAATTTGAATTAAATTTTAAGTATGGATTAAATGTGAATGAAATATTTTGTAAACAAACACATGTTTTTTAAACATTTTATATTAGCAAATTAAGTTGGAGAATGAAACAAAAATATTATTGATTTCTTTTATTTTTTTAATCTCAATAACATCAATAAAAATAATTACTATTATTTTGTATTTTTAAAGTACATTATTTATTTACTCATGTATTTTAACAACCAATTGTATACATCAACATTTTTATTACTTTTATATCACATTTACTTTATTAATTATATTGTTAACTCATTGAAATAATCTTCACATTCTCATTATATTTTTTGGCAGGATAATTATTTTGAAAACTTGTTTATATTTATAATTTCTTTGTTTATATTTATAATTACTTTTTCTAAACTTGCGTTACATATTGGTCCAAATATCAACTTGTTCTAAACTTTTACATTGACCACTTTTACATGCATGTAACTTTTAAATTTTAAAATATTAATATCATTCTAATTATATTTACCACATAAGTATAAAAATAATATTTATTTAAAAATTAAATATAATATTTATTGTTCATACTAAACTAAAGTAACTAATTCCAAATCCAACTATTATTGAAAACCCCTTCCCAGAGCCGTCCCCTCGCATCAAATCAGTATAATAATAATCAGTGTCCCACCAATCGCTTCAAGGATTTATACTTACAGAAAAGTAACATCCTGTTCAAATTTTGATTTATTGTCTACTGGAAATTGGAATCCTTATCTAATAATCACACCAAATATGACATTTTTGTTTTCACATGATAAGTTTGTTAATGTCACATGGCTGGAAGTGGTGTCATTAATTTGATCTTTTTTAGCCCCAGCAATGAAAAATAAGACACTAGCAGTAGCTCCAGGAAGCTTGTTATATTGCTCAGATTTAAACATGTAATAATTAAAATTGATGTGAAATAAATAATAAAATGATAAATGATTGATAGTTAACAATGTGTGATAGGATGGAAAATGAAATTTTTGAAATATGTACGGCAGTGATTAACTGATATTAATTAATTATTCTGATAATATTGAAAAAAATTACGTTGAATTACATTTAAGTTAAAATTTGAGTTAAAAGTTTGTACTATCGAATAATAATTCTGTAAAAAAAAAAAGGTATGTTTAACAAGACAAACTATTTTTTTTTTACTTCTAATTACTAACCAAATAAATTAAAGATCTTAACTTGAGTCAAATCATATTGCATGAATTATTATTAATTAATGATTGTGAAGAAATTAAATTTGAAATTGTGGATGTAGGAGGTGGGGGAACAAGCACCGACAGATAAGGAATTATTATTATTATTATTATTATTATTATTATTATTATTATTATTATTATTATTATTATTATTATTATTAT